AGAATCTTCCAGAACACTGTTCCATGGAGTCCAGTTTGGAAAATCACAACTATGGCACCACCAAAGGTGCTCACCAGCACCCAAGAGAAGCTCTTGAAGTCACCCTTATTCCATCTGCAAGGGACAACATCTAAACTAGATGCAAAAATTAACTCTCTAAGTAAACAATTAGGAAAGAGCTCACGAGTTTTTTTCTGAAGTTCCTCATTCATGAACCATAATGGGGGTAGAAGAAGCCTTCATGACAATTCAGTCCCGTGGGAAGAACAATGTGCTAACATGCACAGGCTAGGAGATCCTGGCAAGTCTTCCACACTTCAGTATCTAAATGTCCGCTAAGAGGTTTCCTTCACCAGTTGTGGGTACAGAATACACAGTGATTAAGAGTACTTACCTGAAGTCCATTAACGTAGGAGCAAATCTCAGCTTCATTTCCTTCTAGCTGGGTCACCTTGGAAACAGGTTAATGTCCACGGATCTCAGTTTTCTTCTTTGTAAAACAGAGAAGATATCACCTACCTCACTGGCTATTGTGAGGATTAAATGAGATAAAACACATCAAGCACTTAGCACATTGATTTTTTACACGTGTGCTGTAACAAGAGAAAGCAGTAACTGATAGGGAGCACTTCTCTAAATTAAAAGTCCTATGAAATTGTAAAGCAGCAGTGTTGGTTCTTATTAACGGTGTGGGAAAAGGAATTAAATTAAGAATGTTTTTAAAAGAAAACATATGATACAGATAGATTTGGTTCTTAAAAGTACGAAGCAAACCCACTGCCCCTCACCAATTTTCTTCATCTGTTTTCTCCTCAGGATTTTGACGACAGTCTACATCAGAGGTTTATCAAACTTGTGCTGCATTATTGCAGAAAGGAACGGCTTTTCTGTTGAGGATAATAATAGTAACAAAATAACATTATTTTAGATTTGTGTCTCCCATTTCCTTTCCAAGCAGGTATTGTTCCTGATGGGAAAATAAAGGTTACTAAAGGGTTAACTGACTTTAGTAAAGGTCAACAACATGGCAAAATCATTCCACTCCCAGAGCAGCAGGAAAGCCTGTTTCTGACATATTTATAACTCTATGGTTAAGATGTTCGTTTAATGTGCTTTTTTTATTCAAAGGTCTCTGACCATTTAAACCTTTCCCCCCTTTAAGTTAGATGTGCTTTGCTAGCTATTAATGTCCTTTAAGTACCTGCTTTATGTTCACTCTAAGATCTGGCCCTAACAATTTTCAAAGAATGCTACCTTGACAAAATTCCAAGATAATTAGAACTTTTTATATATATATATAACAAACAAACATGTTCGAGTTAAAATTAAAACCTCCCTTTAGATTTGAAATTTGAAAGAATTACATTTGCTTGCTTGTTGTAAGAAGATAATTCTTAGACTTTGTGATGCTAAGAATAAGAAATACATTTTGAGTATAGCTTTTAAATGTTCTTGAATATGTCTGCTGTGAACCTTGGAAACTGATCCAAGACCAGGTTCAGAAATAGGAGCTAAAAACCTGAAGTCTAGGGTTTATTGCCAAATCCATAGAGGACTGCCTATCTCCTTTCTAACTTTGATGCTTCTAGATAAAATGGCATAATATTTCTTTGCAGCTTGATTACATGTTAGTAAATAAAAGTGGTATTTATAAGTATTTGGGGGGTTAGATTATATAAATATTTTCATTAGTAAGAAATACAGGTCCCAAACGTCGATGTGCACAAAGGACACAAGTCAATACACGTGCATGAAAAAGGATAGAATTACGTGTGGTGTGGGTCTAGATTTTCGCAGCAGACCCAGCCATATGTTTCTTGTCTAGGTGGCTGCCCAGTGAACTCATGCATGTGGATAACAGTTCTAGCAGGCAAAAAGCCATATAAACAATGAGCATAACTCATAATGAAACAAAGAAGCATGCTAATAGCAAATTGTATCATTATAGAACACTACTCAACCGAACTTTTTAATGAGTAATTTGATAAATGAATAAATGAGATGTTAATATAGCCATCCCACTGAAAAGCAATCAAATGTTTGATGGTGAAGGACCACATAGCATTTTGCACTGTAAGATGTGACAGTCACTTCCCCTCCCTGACTTTTGCCTATGCTTATCTTCATTGTAACCTTTCTGGAGTCAGCCAGGATAGTACCAAGCACAATGCCTGGAAAACCGTGGTTAAGTTCTATGAAATATTTTATTTTGTCATTGCAAGAGAAAAGAACTGCTTCCAGTTTCAAAGAAATAAAGAATGGGATTTAAATTCTTTGTCCTTTTATGTAATAAATAGAACATATACTTTCTGCTTAGGGTGGGGGTGGGATGGGTAGTATAATAAAGCTATAGAATTTCATTCACATAGGAACATTTTTATATGTTAAAAGTAAGCCTTATGTTTCACCTGATGTTTTCGCCTGAGAAAATACAGTTGCCCTGCTTAATTCAATGAGGAAAATATTTAATAATTGATGAGGATTTGTGGAGTTGGAAATTGTAAACATGGCAGTATTTCAATACAACAGCTCTAAAATAACTAAATAGACTTCCTCTGTTGTATTTATTTACCCTTTCTATAGCACCTATCATCTTAATACTTAGGCATAAAAGTACCAGGCATAATGTGAGGATGAAGATATTATGATTCCATCTAATTTTTCTCTCTCAGTAGTTAAAATATAGACAGTGTTCAGCCATACATTTATTCCCCCATGTTACACTGCTTAGTTCCTGAGACTAAAGAATTCCTTATGTACAACAAATATTCAGTGTTTGGTGTGAAGGAAATATGAAGGTGTGACACTGTATTTTAGTTAAACAATCAGTCAGTGGTTTATTTAAATACAAGTAATACACAAATGTGTAGATATAGTAGCAATAGCCAATGGCCCTGTATTCAATGTTCTTTGCCTTGGTTTCATTCTCATTTTCAAAGAAGCTCTCTCTCTCCTCTCATGATTTTACAACAACCAGTTGAGTTCCTGAGACCCATTTTTAGCTGCTGGGTCTGTGGAGGTTATCAAGCCCTTTCATGCTAATGAGATACATAGACATGATTTATATCATAACAATTGATGACAGATGGTACAAAATCCTTGTAATTGTTGTTTTGAAGATAAAATGATGGGACACCTGGGTGGCTCAGTCGGTTAACCCACTGACTCTTGATATTTGCCCAGGTTATGATCTCAGGGTCCTGAGATGGAGCCTTGCCTCAGGCTCTGAGCGAGTCTGCTTCAGTTTCTCTCCCTCTGCCTTCCCACCCCCTGTTTGTGCATGTGTGTTCTCTCCTCTCTCTCTCAAGTAAATAAATAAATCTTAAAAAAAAAAGATAAAATGATATGAAAGCACCAGGTGCCTCAGAGTCCTCATCTGTGCTATGGGAATCGTGTTCCTTTTCAAGTATTTATTGAGTGCCTACTACCTAACAAGGTTGCAGCAGCGAACACTAGAGAAAAATCCTCTGCACTTTGGAACTCCCAGTGTCATGGGGGTAGTCTGCGGGGGGATAGCTAGAAGTAAGCAACGACAATAAAGCAAAATGTATAGTACATTCAATGGTGATAAGTGGTGTACAGAGAAAGATAAAAGGGAAGGGTATCAGGAGTGCTTGTGGGGCTTGCAACTTAAAATAGTTTGACAAGGCCCACCCTGAGGCAGTAAAAACAACAGAAGTTCATAGAATTCTTGTGAAGAATAAATAAACTGTACACAAAATGCTTTGACCAGTGTCTGGCGCATAGTAAAGGATTAATAAATGTCACTTTGAAAAGAGGTAGTGATGTTTAGTGTTGTCTTGAGGAAGGTTTTTGTTCTGTTCCTTCATTTGCCATGGCCACTTTTATTTGAAATTAAGAATGGAATTAGTATTTGAATTTTGTATAAGAGGTTCAAAATGCTAATTTGTAAACTGGATAAAAATACAGAACTGGGAGACCTAAGTCTTAGTGGATAAATTATCCACAATCTGTCCCTGTCTTAAAATGGGCAAAAAAGAGGAGGAGGAGGAAGGGAGGAAGAAGGGAAGGAAGGAAAGGAAAGTTCTTTATTAAGAGTCTATTTTTTTTTAAGAATAAAATTGTTTTAAGTCATAGATATAGTTTAAATTATTTGAACTTTATATGTATTCTAACTTGAAAAGTAGGTCAGTTAGGGCAGATGTATCCCAAATCTAGGAAACTACTAATCTTTGCTAATTGAGTTAACTGCATTCAAACATCTTATTTGAATTATGTGTAGAAATCTTATACATTCCTTTAGATGATTTTTTCTTTACAAACAGCTCTACTATTCTTGTAGGTGTATTTTAACAATAAATAAAGAATAAGTTATTTGTATTCAAGAAGCTAACAACAAAGTTAATATAAAAAGAAAATAAATAATTACAGGGCACCCACTATGTGTGGGTATGTGCTAGGCAATTTGGAAGTTGCTTTCATTTTTCCTTCAAAAAGTTTTGAGGACTTGTGTTTTGGGCACTGACTGAGGCCCTGGTGGGACATCTGAGAAGTGTTCGGACACAATTCTTGCCAAATCTAATAAAGCTTACAGCCTTATAGGGGAAGGTATGTACGACCTCGTTAGTTCTTCACATCCTTGTAAAGAAGGTACGCCCCAGTTGTACAGGGAGGAAAACCGAAACCAAGAAAAATGAGGCGAGCTGTCAAGGGTCACTCAGTCAAGTGAGGAGACCCAAAATCAGTTTAGGACTTTCCATTCACAGCTGCAAGCTCTCACACTGCTGACTCAGTAATATTTGAGTGTGAAATACAAATGCAGTTGGTATTCAACTTTGTTTATTCAACTTTTAAAAATTAATGTTCATTTCTCGATGTAAATCGATGCAGTAGGAAGATGAGCCATAACCAGACCACGCAACTGGGTGAAGCGAAGCTGGGATTCACATTTTGCCTTAGGTCAATCACACATGGATTCATCTAAAATCAACTACATTATGGTTTGTGCACTTCAATGACTTTTTAAAACCACATTGTGGGAAAAAGTACATGTAAGGAAACATCGTCAAAAAAAATTTTTTTTGGTACTTTATGAATTGATGTTTTTACAATGATGGTGTCAATAACTCTTAAGCCTAATAGCATGTGTCTCTTTTTTTAGCTGTCTGCCAGCAAGAAGTCCAAAGAGAGCCTCAGCAACATACCGGTTTGCATCTTACGACTAAAACATTCTGTGCAATTACATAGCAAAAAGTCAGATACTGTCAGTTGACTGCCCCAAATTGCATCTGAGATCCCCTTCTCCTTGTCTACTTTCCTGTGATTGGTTTCCATGAAGCCATGTGACCCAATTCTGGCCAATGAAATAGAAGCAGGTGGCAACGGGGAAGGCTTCCAGAAAACTTTCTAAAACTTGACCTTCACCTTTAGCTTTTCTCTTTCTTCCAACTGGGGGAAAAAGAAGTTACACGTTAAGAAAGGGAGCAGGAAAACAAATGAGCTTGGGGGCTTGTGGCACCAAAGAGCAGCTGCACACAGTCTCCAGTCGAAGCTGCCTCCCTTTGGCTTCTTGTTTTGTTGAGGGAGGGGTTGGGACAAAAAATATGTATCTTCAGGAGCCATTAGTCAGGTTTTCTGTTGCTTGCAAAGGAAAGTAAAGCAATACTAAATCAGTGGTGATCTTCTCCCCTCCCTTCCTTCCCCCTTTCTCTATATTTTCCTTTCATGTTCTTTTATTCCCAAGTGTCTAAGTTTTAACTTTTTTCTCTCTATTCTTTTCTATCAGCTATTTTATCTTCCAATTTGATAGAATGATCAATTTACATGACTTCCACGTTTATCAGAACTGTAAACACGCCAGTACTCCTGAATTTCTTCCTCTTCAGACCCTTCTTTTCTCTTCTTACCGAGACTTGAAATGAGAAAG